TTTCGAAAAGTTTTTTAAAAATCCATTTTTGAAGGGATCCCTAGAAAACTCGTTAAGCTAAAAAATTCATAACTCGGTCAGAATCGGTTTAAACTACTTTAGAATATCAACATGTATTTTATGTGCTTAATCTTATTCTGGGCTTGAAATTAGTACGAAAAATTCTCTTGTTCCTAAAGTTTCTAGAAAACTTGTCAAAGATCGAAATACTTTCTCTTGATTTTTAGAGTTTTTAATGAACTTTATGGTGTAGTACAAATAAAATGAAGTATATGTTGATATTCTGAATTGATTTGAACCGATTCTGGCCGAGTTATGAATTTTTTAGCTTTCGGTGGAAATAGGCAAAAATGGAGTATTTTGTCTAGTATCGGTTTTCACTAGGTTTTTTGCATTTTCTTCTGCAAAGAAACATTGCCACGATATTCTCTATGGCTGAAAACCTCTATTTCAATAACTCTTGAGGTTTCTAGACCAAAATATTGAGCAGTCCTAGGACTTCGAGGAAAATGCCTGTAGATCCTGTTTTATAGGGGGCACTGTCTTCTATCTACTGATGTAGAAAAACTCATATTTTAGTATTTGAAATTTTTCCGTAATGCACGAGTTTTCTAGAGATCCCTTCAAAAATGGATTTTTGAGAAATTTTTCGAAAAGCTTCCCGCTTGTAAAAATATGCTTCATAAACTTCTCTTTCCATATCTGAAAACGCCGTCTCTCTAACTCTTTTGATGTTTGCGTTATTAAAAAAATAGCCATGGGTTATTCTCTTTTTAAATGATAGAATAGAAATAGAAATAGAGTGAAATATATGAAATAAATAGAAGTGATATGCCCTAGTTTTGCTTGTGATAATCCTAGAAGTGTAGAAAAGTGCGAAAACACTTTGGATTTATAAGTTCCGTGATACATTAACTATATGTACATCATAAAACATCAAAGTATACTCAAGGTTCATTACAGTTCAAAGGTTCGTGATGCAAAAATGTAGTGAACAAAAATACGCTCTTATAATAATCAAAGAGAAAGATAATGAAAAGGGCTGGAAAATCAATAAAGTTCAAGGTTGCAAAAATTCAGCCCTATGAGAATTTTGTTTTCCACTCGAGAAAGATAAACCTCGTCAGATAATAACTAAAGCTATTATGCGAGATAGAGTGAGTATAAAAAGAAAAATACTATTTATCGAAGTTCTATAAATACTACAAAAACAATCGTTTTTTTGCTTCTTTCTTTTTTTTGTTCGACTATATTGAGTTTTTTTGTTTTCTTGATTGAACAAAACTACAGAGCTGACAATTCTAGACTTATGATTCAATGTTACAGGAATACATGTAAAATATATCTATATTCTATTCTATTGGTATTATACCTTGATTTATATTCATTGATGAGAGTAACAAAAAAAAAAAGAAGAAAGCAGAACACACTCTAAAGCTGTTATTCTTGATTTTGATGATTTTTTTTTTTGTTGTTGTTGTTATAACAGTGATTGACTTAATAGCAATGATGTTTCCTATACACGATGGAAGTAGAAGAAAAACACATTGATAGACGAAAAAAATTACTAGTACCGACATCACACACTTCAAAAATATAATAGATGCACATGAAGAGAGAAGGGCATTGAAGCTTTACACAATATGGAACATATCATAATTTCATTTTAGAAAGATTAATGATCCCTACGAATCGGTATAATGAAAAAATTACTTTCTCAGTTGTCATATTTCCAGTATATACAAATCAATTGGCACTATCATTCGTTTAGCTCACACACACGTATACACAATCAAATACCCGAAAAAATTACTCTTAGTCAAACCATTTCTATGTTTTTAACGACGAGAATCGAGAGCTTTTAAGCTGTCTGATTTTGCTACTGTATTCCAAGAATGACTATATATTGTTTTCTGTGTTTGATCGAAGACAATGAAAAAAAGATATCAATTTTTTTTTTGTTTTATGCATCCATAGTAAATCAACAAATCTTATTGTGTGTACGTTCAAAGACAATTGCAGAGCTAAACAAAACTAAATTCAGTACATGTGACAAGAACGAGATAATAATCTAAAAAATATTGTTTTTTCATGTATGTAATCGAAGAAAAAGAACTAGCGCAGAAATTAATTGAAATCTCAAGTGAGAAAGACAATGAGTGAGAGAAATTCTAATAAAATTTTCTCTAATTTACAAAATAAAGTTACTTTTTTTTAATACACTTATAGACATGTATATCTTCATACTATAACTTGAAAAATATTTAAAATAATCACGTTGAATTAGTACTTATCAGATTTTATAATATTATTCGAAGAGAGAAGATGTCTAAGATTCGTTAAAAAATCCTTTGAGTTGGGACTTCTTTTATCCTGTTTTGACAGCTTGAAAGTAGAATACATTAATTCACTTAAAAAAAAACTGATAGAGAAAGTCGGAGAAAAAAGTGATCAGTTTAAAGTGTTAGTTTATTGTATAATCATATCTTAAGAAATTCTAGCGTTATATTGTATCGCTAATATTAGACATTGTTCGCTCAATATTTTAGCCAAATTAGTAAGCAGCGTGATAGGCAGCTATATATATATATATTTTCGAAAATCATAACAACAGCAACAACTAATATAATGTGTCAATAACTCTGAATAACGTACTCTCCTACTTTCTATTTTGACATATACGTTATTAATAGTTATCATTTAGCACACAAACCTCTTCTTCTTCCTACTATTACAATCAAACTGTTCAATTATTTTTAATCTAAAAGTACAATATTCAAATACTTACCAATTGTTGTAATAACAGTTAACGAAAAATAAAAAGCACCAGCAAATTTCCATTGTGCACCGGCTTTATGTGGTTGATATTTAATAACAACATCTTCTAATTCTAAATATTCCGTGGGTGTTATATTAAATTGAGCTAACATGCCAACTTCTTCTTCTTGATATTGTTTACGTAGTTTGTCTTCTTGATTTGATTCCAAAGCGTCAAATATGGCTGCGCCCACTAACAAATACGAAAATGTACTTACAATTAATGTTAATGTACGAACGTTTTGTTTTTTCATGCTAATTGACCAAACATAATTACGACCTGGCTAATTT